TAATCAGAAAAAAAATGAAACATATATAAGGTCGACTGTGATATATATATATATATATATATATATATATATATATATCAAATACGTCCATTATCTCAATTGTTAGTATAAAATAAAGTATAAAAGTATTATTTGACTCACCAATACGGTGCACAGCAGCGGAGTTATCAATCATATCACATCAATAATCTACGTTAAACTGTAAAATACAAAAGTTACACCTATTTACTTATTTATTATATAATATATATAAAGTTACATTACATCGTATAAATATGTCATTAAATGTCTGAATACATTTTGAAAATAAATAATAAATTAGTTATTAAATAACTTACCCCATAGTTGCTCCGCCATCGCCTGATGCCTCCCAGGCCTCCTCTCAAGTGTTGCTCCGTTGAACTCACATAACACTTCTGAAAATATGATCACATGACATTTAACACGATATCCTCGTTAATTGCAACGCACTTTATTACTGTTACTTCAATGAATAATAACTGTCACGTTGACATGTTTACGAGACGTTGATCGTGCAAGCTAACTAATTATGTGTACTTCACATCGAATTGCTTCATCGCAAATAATGATAGTATTTTCTTTCATTACAGTCGCGATCGATTACGAGAGATAATACACGTCACGGCCGTTATCTATCCAATGCTTGAATGATATGCCAGGATTTTGCATAAACAAAAGAATTAATTCTGAATGTCGATCACGTGTAAAGCTAACATATCTAAATCACAAGAAAAGAGTATGTATAGATATGTACATTTTTTTTAAAAAAAGATGATCCGGAAATGGAAGCAGAGGGTATAATTTCGTATGCCTTAAATATAGATATTTAATAAAATAAAATTTCTTGAACATAATTTTTGTTAGCGATTTTTATTAATATGATTATAAATATAAAATTTTAATTATTGGCCAGAAATTTTAATTTCAAAAAGAATACAACACACTCTGCCTTAAAAGAATACGGCTGGTAACCCTAATCGCGCGATACACTTTACGATATTTCCGACGTAAATCGCACAAACACGTTTTATTACGTCACTTCAATGAATAATCACACAAAACACGATTTATTATGTCACTTTAATGAATAATCATCACGTCAACATGCTTGCAAGCTGTTGATCGTGAAGGCTAGATTAATCATGTAGTTGGGAATAATTATTTGTTCATTAAGAAGATAGAGAATAATACTACTAATAAATCAAGACTAAACGTCCCAAATTAGGAGAGACAGTCCAAAATTTTAACTCTTCGTCTCACTTTATAACACGTTTCAAATTTTATCCCAAATTAAGGATTTGATTAAAATTATCTCTGTTCTACTATTTTAAGAAAATAATAAGTGTAAAATAATAAACGAAAAGATAAATAAAAATAATAAGTATAAAAAATAAGTATAATGTGATTTTTTAATTTAAAAAACCTCAATTACTCATAAACACTTTTGTAGAAAAGTTTTATTACCAATTTTAAAAAATAATGTGATCTCGTAATGTAATTTTTATTGTAATATTATGTATAACGTTATACATTAAGTGTTATTAATTATTATTACAAATATAATTATATTGTTCATGTTTTATTATTAATTATAAAAAATATTTATTGATTAAAATTTAATTGATAATATGATAGTATTGAATTTTTTAAAATCTATTTCCCTTTTTAAGGAATTGGTTATCTTAATGATAGTTTTTTCTTTGGCATTTGACGTGATCACATTATAAAGATCAATAGTTACATCGCAACGCACATTACATCGCAACGCACAGAGCAGTCGTTAGGGTATATCCACACAAACGTATTGCATAGCCACATAAACGTATGCATAAAGAATTATCCAATCACATTTTATGTGCGTCTTTATAGCAGAAATATAATTGGATAATTTTCTTTATGCATACGTTTATACAGCTATGCAAGTTTATGTGGATACATCCTTACGAATCGCGATTTTGCGTAAACACAACACATTGCAGCCGCGAAAAAAAAAAACAATATTCAAGTGTCTCCAACAGTTTTTGACCCTAGGAAATATTTAACATGCAATAAAGTAAATCTGCTCCAAATTTTCAATTCTTTACATTTCAAATTAATTATAAAATTATATTAAAAATTACACAGGATTTAAGAATTTTTTTCTCTGCAAGTAATACACACGAACAACGTATAAGTGAGATTATTCACCTCATAGAACTCCGCCGTTGTCCGATGCCTCCCAGACCTCTTCCTCCTTTCAGATTCCTTCAAATCACTCGCGAAAACTCAGTAATTAACACTAATGCTAATTATCAAAATAGATCGTGCATCACTTTGTACGGCATATATTAATGATATACGGTGTACTTATCACTCTGCGATAGATTGCGATAACGAAAGTAAATAATGAGAAAAGAAGCAAGAAAAATAGTAGAACGATACACTACGATTTGCTCGGCTTGTAACACGACACACCGATACGTCGCGACATCTTGAGACGGTGGCAAGCTATTTTAACGAATCACTAATGTAGGTATGAAATTTATGTCATATAGTCGACAAAATGAAATGCGATTGTAATTATTGATCACACGTAATCACGATTCTATTCATGCTATTTGATTCGAACATGACTCTTTTTGCACCACGTAACTGACGAATAATGAATAATGAATATAGCGTCACAGTTCACACGGCAACTTCACTCCTAAAGTCGATTCTACATTAGTTGCAAGTTTGTTGTGACCGCTAATATGAAGCGTTGATTTCAAAATGCAAACTAATGTAGAACCGGCTTTATGGTCATGTGATTGTGGCGCAGCGTCGCGTCGCGTCGGTTAAAGTCCGTTCGTATTTATTGAAAGAAGATTAATAAATTTTATAAATAATTAAATTATGTATAGAAATTAGAATTAGATACCTTATTATTGTAAATGAAATTAAGTAATTAAAAATTAAATGTTAAGTCATTAAAATGGAGTAAAAAATTCCTCGTATATTTTCTTAAAAATTAACACAATGTCATGGCTTGTTTCGAATTATAATTAAATTAACTTTGAGTTAATATAATTAACATTTATTAATTTATTTTATTGTAAGACACAGCAAATAATTACTTAATAATTGGCCACAGATCAATATAATTAGAATGATTAATGATTGGCCACTGTATCGCTTTTTATTGTGTAACAATTATGGACAGAAATTAAGTAATTATGTAATCCGGTTAGTATTAATTATTTAAAATAATTGCGTTTTCTCTTAATATTCTTCTTGATCGTGTTTCGTAGAAAAGTAATACTAGAACACAGAGCGCGCCGCGTCGACACCTTTCGATTCGAACTTCGTTATGCTAATAACAAGACGAGTGCGTGTGTACAAAACTCTTACAACGCTCGGCCTTGACAATGAAGGCCAAAGTCGCGCCGATATAAATAATGTGATGAGCGTAGTCATACATGTGACGAATGTAGTCATACATGTACGTTATCATCCCCAAATTCGACCCATATACGAACGAACTATTTTGTTTTTTATATTGAATAAACGATTTCTCTCATAATACGCATTTTACTTTTTCAAAACGTTAGCATAATTAAGTATGTATAATAATTACTTCTCAATTAAAACATTTTTATTTAAAAAATGATTAAATAAGTTATAATGTGAAACTTAAATTTGTCCGTAATAAATGTTAATTATTTTCCATGTAGAACGTAGGTAGCACCTACTGATATGTTTTTATGTAAGAAATTAAAGGATGAAAATAATAAAATTCATTTTAAACGTGCTTTATATCACAGAATTATATAAAATAGAATTCTATGATATAAATCACATTTAAAATGTTGATTTAAATTTTATTTATTAAAATAAGACTTAATTTAATAATTTATATGCTGTGTATATATTCAAAAATTAATAGTTAACGAGATATTTTACACTTCAGAACATTCAGCATAATAAATGTAAAATATATTACCGTATAAGGTATAATTCTTCTATAGCATTAATTTAATTCTTTTCTATGCAGAATAATTAGAAAATTTATATTACTCCTTAGTACACAAGTTCAATCATTCGTGTTCTGGATTAATTTTCATCAATTTATTATAAGTATATAAAAATTATTAAACGATTTTTATGTATATTTTGACATCTTTAGAAAGTATTCATACAGTATATTGTATATTCATAAATTGTAGATAAATTGTTTAACTAAATATCGTTAACAAAATGAGAGAAATGCATTATTTCATACAAAAATGTAAAACTCTGAAAAAATTTTTAAAAGAAAAATATGGTTCAATATCTTAAAATTGATATTCCAAACAACAAAAAAAAATAGTTCAAGTGTTGGTTGTTCAAAAAATTTAGTTATTGAATAACCTGAAAATATTTTTTTTTTAATATGCATAAATAGCTATAAATTGAAGATATGTTGCATTTTAAACAATGCATTTTATTAGTGTTATTATCTTAAAAAGACTTATAATTTATTAGGAAAATGTTTTTTAAAACAAACAACATAAAGGATACGCACAAATTTAGGCTGGCAAAGGCATTATATTAAAGTTTAATTGTGAGACACATGAAACAGGCATCACTTGCCTGTTCAAGGCTCTTAGGGCAATATTCATTCGGATCTTAGAGGCTTTCTACAATAAGCCATTACTTAAGTTTTAAGTCATAAATCATAAGAAATTGACCTATCACAGTCGAATATGAGAAGAATAATCAACTAATTGATTAATTTCTTAAGACTTAAAGCTTAGAGGCTAATGGCTTATGGTAGAGAAAGCCTATTACATTTTAGACCATCTTAAATACAATCTTAAGCTATTATAAATCAATCAGAGAGCCGTATTAGCATCTTAAAACATTACTTAAGATAGTCTTAAAATAAGAACGAACTATGAATGTCGCCCGTAGTCACAGTACAAATCAGTATATATAATAGCACGATGGCCTCGTACGCGGCGAGCGTCATACGTATTTAACAAATCAAATAAAATAGCAGTCTCACTAAGGTGCTAGACAATTTATTTATTGGCAATAAGAACAATAGAAATATTGGACCGTACATGTCAAAACACAATCAATAGGAAATAGGAAATAAAAACCCATAATGTTCGAAGATGGATCTTTAATGCTTAAATAATTCAATGTGAATTTGTATATACTATATATATATATATATATATATATATAT